TTTTCAAATCCGTATTGTATCTTATTTTTTACTGTTTCTTAGTGTGTATTTTGTTTGTTTCCTTCAGCACACTCCGTCTTGCGTATGTCCTGAATTATCACCACCCGGATTTAAAAGAAAAAAAAAAGAAACCCAGGAGGATGCAAAACATATGGCCCGTACGGGGATCGAACCCGCGACCTTGGCGTTATTAGCACCCCGCTCTAACCGACTGAGCTAACCGGCCCCCTAATCATTTTATCGCCTGCGCGCCACTCACAGCTGCTCTGCGCCGCGTCTGTGGAAAACGTACGCGGGGCTAAGCAATAAATTAATTAGCAGAGGATGGTTTCGATCCATCGACCTCTGGGTTATGGGCCCAGCACGCTTCCGCTGCGCCACTCTGCTGTGGTTTTAGAGGGGTCCTCACCCATCCTGGCCAGCCCGGCCCCGGGGGATGCTCCCCCGCGGGGACCGCTTTTTTTTCCCGGCTCAGCGGCGGGCGCTAGTGGTAGCGCCGTGCCAGCAGCACGCACATCCCGCCTGAAGTGACATCCCTGCTGGCACAGTCAGAGAATCGTGGAATGGTTTAGGTTGCAAGGACCTTCAAGATCATCTGGTTCCAACCCCGCCCGTGGGGTCAGGGGTAGCCCCGCTAGCCCAGGTTGCCCCAAAGCCTGTCCAACCTGGCCTCACACACTTCCAAGGATGAGGCTCCTATAGCTTCTCTGGGCAACCTGTGCCAGTGTCTCGCCTCCCTCACCATGAAGAATTTCTTCCCAATATCCAGCCTAAATCTGCCCTTTTTAGTTTGACACTATCAGCCCTCGTTCTTGCACCACACTCCCTGACAAACAGTCCTTTCTTGTAGTCCCCCCTTTAAGTGCTGGAAGGCAGCTGTAAGGTCTCCCCAGAGCCTCCTCTTCTCTGGGCTGAACACCCCAACTCTCAGCCTGTCTTCAGCAGGGAGTGGCTCCAACCCTCTGATCGTCTTTGTGGCCTCCCCTGGACCTGCTCCAACACCCAAACCAGGTGACTATGAATGAACGCACCGTGCTGCCCAGTTGTCCCATCTGCCGTAGGAGCTTTGACCTTCTCCTGGAAGTGACTGAAGATGAAATCCCCCACTGTAGTGCTGAAAACTGAACAGAGAAAAGACCAGCTGGCTGCTTCTGGTTTGTTTTTTTTTTTGGCCCATCTGGAAGGAGCTCCTACTCACTCATTGGACGCAACTGCCTGAGCATAAAGTTTTGGGAAAACAGGAAAGTATCCTGTGGGGAATGTAAAAGAAGGAAGGTAGGTGTGATTTTGCACAAGCTTCTCACAAATTTGGGGGCCTAGTTTGCAAAACTGCTGGCGGTTGAGAGATTTAAATATTTTTTTAAAAAAAACATGACAGAGAACATAAAGCCTGGGACCTGGGCTACTCTGTACATCGCACACATCGTATCCACCGCAGTGTATGAAACGAGTTCCATTGTTTAGTAAGCAGAAAATCATATATAGCTGGGCAAATAACAAGTTGAGAGGCACACTAAAAAAAAAAGCAACACATGACAAAAATGAGGTATTAAGGAAAAAACCAATGAGCTTCAGTGCAAAAGGACTGGGATTGTCCTTATGGTTTGTCTGCTTTCCTTTTTAATTAAGCAACAATACTGCCATGCCTACTTCATATTTCAGTTCAACTGGCCAAAATATGTTTTCATCAACAAATCACCTGTTTTATTTTATATGTGCAGAATCTGAATTAATTTCCTGCAGGACTGAAATCTAATTACCTTCTCTGCTTTTAGGAAAATAATATTTTCCTTTGTTTTCACACATGCAGGTATATACAGATTTCAAATAAATGAAGGGGAAGGAAATTGTTAATAGTACAACCATGTGTTTGAAGCCTGAAGGATGAACAAAATGTGTATATTACTATTTGGTCTTACCACTACTAAAATATAAAATAATGACCTTCTAATTTTGTGATTATTTTTTTTTTAAGCTATCAATGGTCTTTATTCAGTGCCGCTGAACAATTTCTTATGAAGTCAGTGCAGCAAGAAACTTTCCTCTTGCAGACCACCTGCAATCCACTTGTCCATATTCAGGTATTTGTGACACTGATGACAAAAGACGAGGCAAACGTTTCGATTACCTTCTCCGTTCATGTGTCCTTATGCCAGCTGCAAAGGTAGGTCAGAAACCCCGACTGCATTTCTCAGTCCAGTGTTCTTTGTTAGTATCGCTAGGTGGGGCTGCCATAAGCCAGCTTGGAAAGGAGTAGCTATGTGCACCACAGAAAGTAGTATTAGCTGGGAAAGGTCTCCCTCTGATCATCTTAGTTGTCCTCTTCTGGACCCTCTTCTATTTTTCAATCTCTTTCTTGTGTAGACGGATCCCAAAACGGGACACCTTTCTCCACAGGTGGCCCCTCAAGCGCCAAGCAGAGGGTGCGAGGCATGTTCCGTGGACCAGCTGGTTAGACAGTCACTCCTCTCCAACGCAGGGACACCCTGCTGGCTCACGTCCAGCTTGTGAACCACCAGGAACCCCACATCGTTTTCTCCAGAGCTGCTCCTCAGATGGTCAGTCCCAGTCTATACCTAAGCATCTTCTGTGCCACAGCCAGACTTGGCATTTGCCTCAAGCTTCATGACATTTCCGTTTATGACCCTCTTCCCCTGCCCTCACACTTCTGTCATCTGGAAGCTCCTGAGGATATTGTCCATCATATCTTCCCTGTCATTGATGAATATGTGAAACAGCATTAGTCCCATAAAGAATGGCCCTTAGAGCCAGCTACCAGCTAGACTCAGAAGCTTGACGACTACATATTAAAGCCTTGATGGATGCTCTGGGCCACCCTGATGTCATCCCCTCCCAGTTTGGCTACAAGGCTCCTACATCAAGAATTGCTGAAAATCCACTAAATGGCATCCACCACTCTGCCCTCACCCACTCTGAGCCATCCACCCAGCCATGGAAAGGTGTCAGGCTGGTGGGACATGGTGTGTTTTCAGTAAATCTGTGTGTTTTCAGTAAATCTGTGCTGTCACATATCATTTCCTACCCTCCATGTGTCTGGACGTAGCTTCCAGGAGGATTTGCTCCGTATACTTCCCCGAGGCTGAAATCAAAGATGACAAATACCAGCCTTGCAACATGAGCCACGTCCCTCAGCACCTCCTGCTGTGTCCATGGCTTTGGGTAAGGTTTCCAAACCAGATTTTTGAAAAATATCCTAAACCTATGTTGAACGAAGTGTTCTGTGCAAAGTGAGGAAACCTGGTAGCAAGTTCAAGAGACATTCATCATACTTAATTTCAGACATCTGGAATCCAAGTGATTTAATTGTTGTTGATATATCTAGTGACACTTAAAATGCCCTAGAGTATCCAAGATACGTGCTTAACACTAGCAAATATGATAGAATCACAGGATCATTTTGGTTGGAAAAGGCCTTTAAGATCATTGAGTCCAACCGTTAACCCAGCAATACCAGGTCCACCACTAAACTTTGTTGCTGAACATCACATCTACACGACCTTTAAATCCCTTCAGGGATGATGACTCCACCACTGTCCTGGGCAGCCTATTCCAGTGCTTGACAACCTTTTCCATGAAGTAATTTTTCCTGATATCCAATCTGAATCCCCGCCGTGATGCAGCTTGAGGCCACTTCCTCTTGTCCTATCACTTGTTACTTGGGAGAAGAGGCCAACCCCCCCCTCTCCACAACCTCCTTTCAGGCAGTTGTAGAGAGCGAGAAGGTCTCTCCTCAGCCTCCTCTTCTCTGGGATGAACAACCTTAGCTCCCTCAGCCTCTCTTCATAAGAACCGTAGCAGACCTGTTCTTCTGGAACACTGCTGGAGACCAGCTGAGATCCTCACAGTTGTCTCAAGTGGCCCTGAAGGCCCATTTTCATCAAGTGACTTGAGTCCTAAATTTCTACATCTGAGCCGGTCAGAGAGTCACTATAATCACAGGAGAGGAACAGACACTTCCAAGGCGCAATTCACTGTAGCATCACATGCCCAAAATGTGCAGACAAGGCACAATGTAGAAACACCTTTTTTCATGTAGTGACTACGTTGGGAAATGAGTGACTAGCACGTGCACTAAGTTCGTAAGGCAGATGTCTAAGTGTTAGTGGGTATCTGTTAGAGCAAATAAAGTGATATAGACCAGAGCAGATGATCCATATTCAAGCAACGTTTCTCAATCCCTTCACTTGCAATCAAGAGATAACTATCTTGGAGGTAGACATCTCCATCAGAGGTGTAAAAACTAGGAATAATCCAGAACGTAACAATAATAAAGTAATGGTCTCTCTGCCATAGAGTCAGTTTCAGCTTCTTCCAAATTGAATTTCAACTGCGCTGAGGAAAAAGAAAGCGAGCAGGCAAGCAAGAAGACATCATGTGCAGTAGTACGTATACAAAGCAATCCATGGATTTATTTTGCTTACTTTACAGTGTTCACCACATATTCCTGTTCTTTCTCCGTACCAGCTCCCTAACTGATACCAAGATTGTTTACCTGGTTTCTCTGCTTATACATCTTAAAGATGTAGAGCTCTACATTCCCAGGTTTCATTCAAACTAACTCTATTCACATATTGTGTAACTGTGTCTGAACCTGTAACTCTTTAAGGATAATTGCCTTTTTTTCTTTCTTTTTTTTTTTTAACAGAAAGTCACCCTCTGAAAGCCAGAAATTTACCTGACTGTTTTCGCAGAGCTTCCTTTACTTCTTTGTTTCTTAGACTGTAGATGAGAGGGTTTACCAAGGGGGTGAGGATGGTATAAAAAACAGAGAAGACTTTGTTTGGAGATATTTGGGTGTTGTAATGAGGAAGGACATAGACAGTTAATATTGACCAGTAAAAAAGAATTACCACGACAAGATGTGAGGAGCAAGTGGAAAAGGCCTTTTTCCTTCCAGCAGCAGAAGGGATTCTCATGATGGTGGCAATGATGCAGAGATAGGATGAGAAGGTCAACAGAAACGGAGGCAGCGCGCACACACCCGCCACAACAGAAATGACCCGTCCCACCACATGCGGGTCACTGCAGGAGAGTTTTATCATTGGGAACGAGTCACAGAAAAAATGTTCAATTTCGTTAGGCCCGCAGAAATCTAAACTGGAGATCAGGAACGTTAGTATAGAATTGGATAGAAAGCCACTTGCCCAAGACGTAGCTCCCAGCCCGAGGCAGAGCCTGCTGCTCATTTGGGACGCATATCGCAGGGGCTGGCACACTGCTAGGTACCTGTCGTAGGACATCGCTGTGAGGAGATAGCACTCTGCAGCTGCCAAGCAACCAAAAAAATAGTATTGTGTAAGACACCCATTGACTGAAATTCTTCTTTCTCCACCCAGGTAGCTAAGTAACATCCTCGGCAAGATGTCTGAGCTGTAGCAGATTTCCAGGCAGGACAAATTGCCCAGGAAGAAGTACATTGGAGTGTGAAGGTGCCGATTTGCCACCACGAGCGCAATGATGGAGATGTTTGCAGTTATGGTCACAATGTAGATTGACAGAAATAGCAGGAAGAGAAGAGAATCCAGGTTAGAGCCATTCCCAAATCCCAGGAGAATGAACTCTGTAACAGCTGTTTTGTTTTTCCACTCTTGCTTTGTCATAACTTGTTCTAGTGATAAACCAGGAAACATTACAGTTATGACTCAAAAAATGAAATTTGATTTACAGAAGAAGCAGAGTCAAGAAATCTTTGCATTATGAAACATACCACCTGACTTCTGTACAGATTGCTCACATACTGACTTACGTTACTTATTATTCCATGTATTGGGAAGATAAAACTCGAGTAATGCTTGTGCTTCTTCTCTGACACAAGGATACTTTCTAACATGTTGCCAGTCTCTACAAGCAAATTAAAAATTAAGTTCTTTCATTAGGTGCCATCACAATTTTTGCCATATTCTTTTCTGTTTCAGGAAAAAGAAGAGTAGATACTAAGAAGAAATTCTTTTCTGTGAGGGTGGTGAGACAGTGGCACAGGTTGCCCGGGGAAGTTGTGGATCCTCCGTCCCTGGAAGTCCTCAAGGTTGGATGAGGCTTTGAGCAATCTGGTCTGTTGGAAGGTGTCTGTGCTCATGGCACAGGGGTTGAAATCAAGGGATTTATTTTTTTTTTAAGGTCCTTCCAACTCAAACCATTCTATGATTCTTTGATTCTATGATTTCAACTCATTCAAACCCCCAATTTTTAGCCAATTAACCAACATCTGACGACAGAAAATGTTGGAAGCATATCCTCTTTCTGTGTCAACCAACAGAGACCAACCCTGTTTCTTACCTGAAACCACAGGAGCATTGAAATCCAGTTTGAAAAATCTTTCACTTCTCAAGGTTTTGCATCCGTCTTTATTTTTTCTAAGAGCCTGATTTTCTCATTAAGAAAAAAAAAAAGAAAAGAATCAGAGCTTGCTGTTTGGCAAAGATGTGACTCCTCCAAATAATTTCTACCTTTTCCTTCTTTTTTTTTTAGCTGAACAAATATACCAGCTCTTCTTTTCCATTCTATCAGGTAGAGACTGTTCCTCCCTTCACACGACTTCTTTAAAACCTTTTCAGAACTGAGACCACTGAAACACCCCAGAGGTTAATCAAGCCAACCAAAGCCTTGGAGAGGTTGTTGTCATCAAGCCCACATGTACGTAAATAATCACTCTTTTCCTGTGCACCCTGACTGGAATTTACATTCTCTTAGCCTACATTTTGATTACTTTTGGGGCCGGGTGGAATTATATTGCTAGGTAGGATAATCAGACAACTGATTACTATGATAATCATCGTTTTAATCTGGGTTCTACACGTGTCAACGTCTAAAACTGACCAGGGCATAGATTCAACGCCAGACAGATACCCGAGTTCAGCTACCCTAGTGACCGTCTGGAGATGCTGCTCCATCTCCTTTTTCTGCAGGGTGACTTCGTTCCTAGCTGTGGTGTCACAAACAAGTGTGATGACTGGTCCAGGTCCTGCCTTTTAGGTTGCTTAGTCTCCCAGACCAGACTTTCTGTCAGTTTGGTGAATAAATATCTCTTGGTAAAACACCCCAACTTTACCTCAGCTTAGTGAGCCTCAAAAAATAAAATAAATTAAAATAAATCATAAGAACAAGGGGAAATTCGAAAAGCACGTGAAAAAAAAAAGTGCATTTCCAAGGGGAAGTTGTACTAAGCGGACACCACTAGATGGGAGTGTGGTCAAAACAAACGGAAATACCGATTTGCAATACAGCTGACCTTGCCCTGTGCAGATGCAGGGCTGGTCCTAGCGAAGTGCAGAGACTGAATGTCATCTGTTTTGATTGCTAACCTGAAATTGAATCGATCTGTCTCGAAAATACAAAACTCACCCGTGGTCTTTCACGTGGGGTACCCTTAGTTTCCCACCAACTAGCCACTCTGCCTTTTCCACGATAGGAATGAAATTACTTGTGCTCCAGCACATCGTGCCCATGGTCTCTGTGTGGGAGTGTCACCTAAAGGCTTTAGTCTGGAGGACAAGGCACACCAGAAGACTGGATCACCAATGCTAGGTGCATTAGACAGCAATCGTTTCATTTTGTTGTCAGAAAGAAAACTGAAGACCAGATTATGGGGAAAAACATGACACATCCACTTTTTTGATTTCCTGCCCTATTTTTATCCTCCACCTGATATTTGCCATGTGTCTGACACTGAAGCCAAGTGGCAAAAGCACTCAAGAGATCTGAGGTCTAAACCAGATCATGCCGAACTCTCCCTTCAGTGTAGACTGGGTTTGGTATGTGCCAGGGCACCCACGCCTGCCTGTTTGTACCATTGTCTTGGAATCCATGACTCCGTCTTTAACACCAGCGTGCTGGTCTCTCCTACCATCCTCACAGCACGCTTATTTCCACCTTTCTCTTCTTTTTTCCAGAGCTTTGCTTCAGGTCCTCCTTGTGAGGGAACTCAGGCAATATTGTAGAATCATACAATGTTTTTTTGGTTGGAAAAGGCCTTTAAGACCGTTGAATCTAACTGTTAACGCAGCTCTGCCGGCTCCACCACTAAACAATGCTGAGCATCACATTTACACGGCTTTTAAATCCCTCCAGGGATGGTGACTCCACCACTTCCTTGGGCAGCCTGTCCCAGTGCTTGACAACCCTTTCCATGAAGAAATTATTCTTAATGTACAATCTAAACCTCTTCTGGCCCAAGTTGAGGCCATTTCCTCTCATCTTATCACTGGTTACATAGGAGAAGAGACCAACCCCCACCTTACTATAACCTCCTTTCAGGTAGTTGTAGAGAGCAAGAAGGTCTCCCCTCAGCCTCCTTTTTCCCAGGATAAACAACCCCAGTTCCCTCAGCCACTCCTCATAAGAACCATAGCAGACCTGTTCTTCTGGAACATTTAAAATTTCGATTAGTTCAACCACCAAAGGAGATTTTGTGTTCATACTTAAGAGCATGTAACAAGTCACAAGGGACTTCTGACAAGGGCTCCAGTACATGTGCAGATTTATTAAAGACAAAGGAAACACTTGGGAAGGTCAGGTTCTTGTCTTTCATATTAGGATGATGAAAAAAGAAGACAGCCTGAAGAACTGGTGCTGCATCCCACAACATGATGTGTGCAGGTGTCTGAAGGACCCCAGCCCATAAGTGGGTACCGTGGAGGTAAGCCTGACAAAAGAGAGTGTGCAAACTTGGGAAGAAAGTGAATGAAGAACTGATGACAAGATTAATTTCTGATTTTCTGTGTTTTTCCATCAGTGGAAGGAATTGCCTGTGTGCTGAACTGTAGGGCTCATCTCATACTGACATGATTTTATGACGCCAGCCACAGCTTTATCCAGACATCCCAGTATTTGTTAAGTGACGAGATGTTAAACAAACTGAACAAAGTACACAGACGGTTCCTCCCCATATCTGAAATTTCCCTACCTCGTAAATCCACTGGGTCATGCAAGATGTGGAATAGAAGAAAACTTGTGTGAGTATTGTCTAGTTGCACAAACCGATGTGATGTGACCGTGAGCTAATGACATGTTCCGGTGTGGGTAGTTTTGAATGCCCCATGTTAGTGTAGCTGGGTAATCTGTGAAGGAGTATGTGTATACAAATGTATATCCAGAGCACAAAACTGAAGAATTAGGGTATGCTTTTAAAAGACAGAAGCAAACCAGGACATGGAGCTAAAAAGTGTCATGTAATCATTCATGTTTCTTGGAAAAGAAGAAAAACTGTCTTGCCCCTGAGACATACTAACAGTGGTTGATATGGAGATAAGACAACTTGTTTTCTCATAGAAAATATTGCTGAAATGCTTCAAGAGTTGCAATTTTACATAAGTTATCAAGACATAGAGATTGTATCCAAGAATCAAGTTGAATAGTGTATCTTTACAGCCATGCATGGAAAACATTTTTTTTTAATTTTTATACTACATTTTAGTATTTGCTTTCCCCAAGATTCAGCGTGATGTCAGCTTCAGAAAAACAAAACCAAACTTACATTACAGAATTCATCCTCCTGAGTTTCGGTGATTTACCTGGCCTTTGAGTTCCTCTCTTCCTGCTCTTCCTGGTGATCTATGTGGTGACAATCACAGAATCACAGAATCACAGAATCACAGAACCACAGAATGTTAGGGGTTGGAAGGGACCTCTGAAGATCATCTAGTCCAACCTTCATCCCAGCATACCTAACCACTACACCATAGCCTCAAGTGCTAGATCTACTTTTTTTTTAAACACCTCCAGGGTTGGTGACTCCACCACCTCCCTGGGCAGCCTATTCCAGTGCCTCACCACTCGTTCAGTAAAGAACTTCCCCCAAATATCCAATCTAAACTTACCCTGACGCAACTTGAGGCCATTTCCCCTTGTCCTGTCATTAGTAATTAGAGAGAAGAGACCAGCACCAGCCTCACTACAGCCTCCTTTTAGGTAGTTGTAGAGGGCAATAAAGTCTCTTCTCAGCCTCCTCTTCTCCAGACTAAACAAACCCAGTTCCCTCAGCTGCTCTTCATAGGTCATGTTTTCCAGACCTCTCACAAGCCTTGTTGCCCTTCTCTGCACGCGCTCCAGCACCTCGATGTCCTTCTTGTACTGTGGTGACCAAAACTCGAGGTGAGGTCTACAGTACTCGAGGTGAGGACAATGATGGGGAACATTCTCATCCTCGTGCTGGTGGTGTCTCATCAGCATCTCCACACCCCAATGTGCTTCTTCCTCTGCAACTTGTCCTGCTTGGAGATGTGCTACAGCTCCACCATCCCACCCAAGCTGCTGGCCACCTTCCTGACAGGCGACAGAAGCATCGGAGAATCCCTTCAGCCACAGGGAAGCAAAAGGCATTTTCCACATGCTCCTCTCACCTCACTGTGGTCACCGTTTTCTATTCAACTCTCATCCTTGTCTACAAGTGTGTAGGTCTCTGCTAAGGCACAAGTCCTTTCCGATTACTTTGTGAAGATGTCATGGATGTCCTGCATCATGGGATGCTCATGCTCCGCCTGACCATGCCAGAGGGAGCTTGCAGCAGTGCAGATGAGAGACAGGCGGCACTGCAAATCCAGAGGCTGGGTTCCTCTTCCTTGGGAACCACCTTTAGTAATGTGGATGCTGGAAATGCTTCCCT